TCCTCTTGATCTTTCCGGGGTCAGTCAGCTGAACCGGCCTGATGATCCTGCGGACAGGACATGTGAATACCACCTCCCCTCCTCCACCAGGTGCCATACCCCTCTTCACCACCTGAGGGAGAAGCGACAGGGAGACAGTGAGACAGAAACGGATAGACTGACCTGTTTTCAGGTTATATTTAGGCTCAAATTTATAACATTACTCTGTGTTTTTCTTTCTTTTTTTTTTTTTTTTTTTTTTTTTTTTTTAAAAAAGGCCACAGTTCTGTCATCACCTTGAGATCAAAGCCCTCTCCATCAATGCCAAACTTCTTCATCACAGGGAGGGCGGTGGTCTTCAGCATGTCAACCTGCAGAAGACAGATTGTGTACATGCTTAGAAACACATTTTGCTGACTTTATGGAAAAGAAACTATAATGCAAAATGCAAAAGAATAACAGGACAAAAGTCAACTAAACCGGATCATTTCTCATCATGGCAGCAAACGCAGCTACTGCTCACCGTTTTCATGACAACACCCCTTCCACATGACACAGTTTAAAATAAGCGAACTCGTATGGAAAAGCAAAAACATTTACACATAGTAACATAACATTTGTTTTCTTCACAGAAGCATGCACACCAGAAGGTAAGCAGATGCATATATGTATGAATGTCCTTACTGTTGGGTCAGCAGGGTCGTTGGTGACCCCCTTCAGCGTGGCCTTCAGGGAAGTCTTCATGAATGGAGCCAGCATGAGCAAGGCTTCCAGGTAGTAGCCAATTGAGCGCTGCGTGTTACAGTCATGTTCTACCGCTCCACCAAACAACAAGCCGGGCTGATAGAATAACACCGTACCTTGCAAAGAAAGAACACAGAGAGAGAGTTTTTCAGACCGGCTTTAGTTGAGCCGCTGAAGTCAAACGCAAGAGGTCCTTCTGAAGAATTAAAATGAGTATTTGCTCACAAAAAGAGGTTATTCAAGCAGCACTGAGGGATTTTCATTTTGTGTTGGTTTGGGCAGCTGCAGTGGACGTTATATGGGTTGTGTGTGCATTTATAAAGGAAGTGAGGCAAAGAAACCCTAACTTCTTTTTAATACAACTTTTCTTTGTTGAGCACAGCTGACGATTCATAGCAATGAAGTAACAGTTGTTTTATAGCTACATCTGTCACGACCTTGTCTAATAATGAATTTCATAAATAAAGCTAACTTATTGCACAACCATCCAGGGTGGGGAAGAGGGACGATTCAGGATTAGTTTATAATCAAGATGAACTTGAACCTCATAACCCTTTTCTTATTTAGCAAATTCTTTGTTTTTTTTCTTTTCGCTGAGCTTGCCATACACACGCATGTGTAGGTTTCTCTGTGAAAAGATAGTCCCCTGTTTTCTTTTAAAGTGATGCTAAACTTTGTGGAAGGAAATGAAGACATTGACCCATCAGATTGTGTTTTATCTAGAATTGATCAATCCTCCTCCTCCTCACGGTATGGTTTGTTTTGTACGCCACAAGGAGGCATCAATATTGAGTCAAGACCTTTTTTATTTCCATCTAGACTGATTCGTTTTTTTTTTTTTTTTTAATTCATTTAAAGTGGTTACAGTTAAATGCCTAAACGTCAACGTGAATGCTTCCAATTAAATTCAACATTTCACACCCAAGACATTGAAATGTCGACATTCTGCACTCCTGTCTGACAGTAAACAGCAATTACATAATCCTCAGAGTCTGTGACCAAGGTAATATTTATGCACTTTAACTCTGAAGGTCACTTTATCCACATTTGTTTCATACAAAATCTCACACAAAAGCTACTTTTTTTAAGCTTGTACACCAGTATAATCGTCTCGGTCATTTAATGTACACTTTATGTTGTTGTTTGTCCACTGTTAAAGTGATTTATAAATTTGAATGTTTTGTTTTCTCTTTGTGGTGATGCTTTTGATGTCGTGTGTGAAACACTGAATCGCCTTGCTGCTGAAAATGCCACATAAATGAACTTATCTTGCCTTTTGCTTGTAATTGTGGTTGTATGTTCATTTCTATCTGTGTGTACCACCAACCTGCCCAAAAGGGACACCCATGGATACAATCTGGCATTTTAACACGTTCATGATCATTGATGTGCAGCATCCCCACTTGAAATTCATAAATATTATTGCACTCCCATCAAACTTTAAGACTCACCTGTTTGGTTGATTTCTATTCTGGAGCCATTGGTCACTTTGTCAAGCAGTCTGATGAAGCTGGCCTCAAAATCTTAAGAGGAAACACAAGGTAACATCTTTTACAGCCAGATCTTTATTTAATCCAACTCCAAGACAAACACAATTATTTTACATGCCCACAAGGAATGTAACAGCTAGCGTTACCCCCACCCCAAGTTTTTATACAATATGGAAATTTAATGAGCCAACAAGTGTTGAACGAATGTGGGAACTTTTAACACTTCTGTCAAAATAAGTCACTCGTTCAGTGTGCTCCAAGCTCTGAAATCAAACTATTGACAAGTTAAATGCAAACACAACTTCGTACAGAAAGGCAATGTTGCTTTTATCTGCCATTTGCGTTAATGTCCTGTGGTGTCTCCGCCTCACAAGCCAAGTGATAAAACGCACTCCCAACTGCGTAACAGCTAGCTCGTTAGCCGTCGAGCTAACTGCGACGCCACATGTAGAGCAGAGTGAAGCTGCAACTTACCGCGGAGACCCGGGTTGTCATCTTTAGACCTGATGTTTTTTATCTTAACTCGCTTCCACTCAGTGTGGACAAAACCAGCCGCTGTCTGAAGAAATTGCAGCCGTCGTACATGAGCCCGTGGCTTGCCATGTTATTGTTGTTTCTGCCTGGCGTCAGTGGAAATCCACGTGTGTTTGTACACGAGAACACGTCGGTGGGAGGGGAGGATACGGCAAAGCATGAGGGCCAAAAATGCGTTTTTTTTTTTTTTTAACATTACATTGCCCTGGTTGGCCACGAGATGGTGCCAGATCACCTATCATAAAAATAATAATAGGGGAATGGCCATTTACAGTTTTTCCCAAATGTTTAAGCCCATTTTGTTATAGGCCTACATAATAAACAATTGTACTCTTATAAATGTTTGAATGTAATGGTCGGTAATTTATTGTCCTTGGATGACCATATTGATTATGTCATATTGAATATGAATATGTCTGCAAAAAGACAAAACAAAGATTTTATTTCCTCAGCCTCCACCAGAGCTTTTGGGGCTTTTTTTTCTGAGTGTCTGACTGTAACACCACATGTCACACATGTCTGTCCACTACTTCAAAGTCTAATCTGCTCAAAGATTGGAGGCAAACAATCAGCCTCCTATAAAATCTTGTTAAGACTGGCTAACATTATTGTCACTAACCCTAACACCACTATGAACCGTGAGTATCAACCATTACCATCAAATCTGAGATACAGGATCGGTCAGGAAGAATGAAGCACTCTTTTGTAACGGCGAATTCTAAATGAGATTATGGAGCCTAATCATCGATGAAATGTTTGAAGTGATGTGGCAAATGTATCTTTTCAATTTTTATGTTGTAAATGGAACGGCTTCATTGACGTAATACAAATTTCAGGCTTTGTCTAAAAATAAAATTCAATCAGATCAGGATAATGTAACACATATCAGTTTCAGTTTTCAGCCTCCATTGTTCTCTGACTGTGGAGCTGGATGAGAGTCTGTGTTATATCGGGGGAGGGAAGTAACTATTATTGATGAGGCTGTCAGCAGACGGGAAGAAACTGTTCCTTTGGCGTGAGGTTTTGGTCTTGATAGACTGCAGCCTCTTAACAGAGGGGAAGGTCTTGAACAGGCCATGTCTGAGGTGAGAGGGGTCGGCCACAGTTGTACCTGCAATCAATCAATCAATCAAGATAGAGTTTCTCAATGCTGTGAATGCTTTATTGAGGAAAATAAGTACACGTACAACACTTCATTTTCAAAAATAATATTGAACTGTATTCAATTCTGTGCATGCAGCCCAGAGGACTCCTCAGTCAGCAGAAATATAACAAGATCAGATTTCAGCTCAGTGCAGTTACTGATACACATTCAATGATGATCACAGGAACACAAATAATCAATCATCTGGCTCAAACTTTAAGAACAATTAGAACAAAACCTGCGTCACAGTCAAAAGCAATGCCAAATGAGCTGTGGTGTGTTAATGAGGGGGTGGTGGTGGCCACACAGGCCTGGGCACTTCTGCTGAAAAGGCTGTATTTGCAGCCTTGATGCATTTGATGATGAATCATGCTTTTTTTTTTACCAATTTCTTTGCAGCACGTTTGTTTTATTTGCAGCGCATTATTTTTATTTTTTTTGCAGTGTAAGTCAAGTAATGCAAATCAGACTTTACCTGAGCATACTTTACTTCTGCTACTTTTTTTCTTGATTCTCAGTCTCAGTCACAGGTCAGGGTATTTCAAGGCTCAATCGGAAAAAAAAAGGCAACTGGAGCGGATTGCCCAGTCCAGTTGCCTTTTTGGATAAAGCAAACAATCAAACAAAAAGAAAGAAAGAAAGAAATTAAGGACATTTTAAGAGAATAACATATGTTATGCTTTACATAACCTACCGTGTGATTTGGTATTTTACTAGGCCTGCAACATCTGGCTAATGGAGAGCAATAAGGTTACGCTTATGCTTTCGTTTCCTAATCTCTGTGGATAAAAAACACTAAATTAGTGCTATAGCATGTTATGTACAACAGGCCTATGATCCATGTGTGTTTATACCCTACATGTGTATAACAGTTTGTATGGAGGAAAACGTTAGATGGGGGTGACATGGCAAAGCAGGAGGACCTAAAATATGTCGTTGGTTTTGATGGTGCAGTGGACCAGGTGGCCACTAGATAGCGCCATGCCATCATTCATAATAAACAATGTGGGCGTGGCTTTCAAGACGCTTATATAACAGGCAATAACATGAACGAAATGAAACAAACTTGCATGCACATGCAGGATCGCCTCTCCTATTCCTCACTAGAGCCGGGCGATAGCATAGGCTTAAAGCAAATGTTCATTTAAACGCGTCCACAGTGATAGACAGGTAGGCCATTTTAATATGAATGTATCACACATCTATAAGGTGTTCTGGGTGCTTTTTAGTTCATCAGTCTCATTCCAACATAAATCGGAAATATTTTGGATGCTGAAGATGAAGGAGCAGATTGGTTGATGGTCAAGCCCATGCAGCCTGCACGCCAACCTGCAGGTCTGTCTGAGGACATCGAGGCTCGGAAGGGATTAATCATCGCAAACCCTTTCCAACACGCTTCACTCTGCCTGTAGTCCAAATTACATAATCGTGTTATACAATAAATACATCTCTGGTCAAACAGTGTCATCTACTATCAAGTTTATCAACACGCTGGGAAGCTAAGATTGCGTCGTGAGGGTGGCGTGGTATCCTCGTCTGCCCCCAACTGACTCTACTGGTTGCACTTCTTATCATCTGTTTCTCCTCCCTCCTCCTCCTCCTCCTCCCCCTCTTCCGTCTGTTTCTGTAAACCGGGGGAAATAACAGTCAAGGTTGAGAGTTGCAGAAGACGCGCCCACTCTTGGCGACGTAGCGCACTTCTTGGAAAAGAGAAGACCTGCTTTTATCCAGGCACGACTGAGCATCCAGAACCGAAGAGTCCTGCATGGGAAGGACACGGCTATTCTCTGCCCTTTAACTTTTTTTTTTTCCTCCCCTTAATAATTGCCCAGAGATGGCTCTTCATAGAATCTTTCGTGCTGTTGTTACGGGACCTCCTGGCTCGGGGAAGGGGACAGTGTCTTCGCGCATCACCAAAACTTTTGGACTTAAACATATTTCTAGTGGGGACATTTTGAGAGCCAATATCAACGCCAGAACCGGTAAGATTGCGGTGTCCTTTTTTCTACGACAGTTAACAGAGATGGGTTTGATCCGAAATGAAAACCTGCACACTTTGACTTTTCAATACGCTGCAAGTAACACGATCTGTTCACTGTTTTGGAAACATAAACACCTTATGGGCATGCTTAATCATCTAAAGCTTTGTTTTCTGGAGGAAGTGCATTGCACAAAATGATCACTATGCTGCACACAAAACTCAGATAAATTGCACGAAAACGAGGTCACCACTGTTATACTGTACTGTAGTGTGAACAATGAAAACACCCCAACTGCTTTTCTGGGCTGATGTGATAAGACCACCCGTCCTTCAACAGTTAGATTTCTAATCTCTCTGTCTCAAACCACACAGGCTGAACTAGGATAGAATCTGTATTTTCTTTAACCAAGGTCAAACAGGTTAGCAGGAGTTATAGCACAGAGCTTGTGGTTGTAGTGTTTGTACTGGAAACACTTGAGCTGTAAATCACCTGAACTTTGGAAGTAGGCCTATACTACTCCTCAATATCACCTTGGTTAAAGACAAAGCTGCAGAGATAAGAACAGTTGCAACAGCTTCGACGTTTGAGAGGAGGAACTACAGATGAAGAAGTGTGCTTTTACAGCTTTTTTCAGAGTTTCCTGCAAAGACTACAGTCAAAGAAAATGTGTTGTAACTGTGCATGAGCAGACATTTTCAAAGTCCTCTCTATAACTCATTGCTTCCGTTGCTTTCAGCGGAGCAGCTCCAGTGGAGCAGTTAGCAGTCAGAGCAGTTCTCCATATTCACTTCTCCATGCAGCTTAAGATAAACACAGCCTGGATCTGAACCAGTGACCTTGCACTTCCTGAGACTGCTACACTTCACCTCACACAAGCTGTAATGAACACTATAGAGAATATTTAAACTTCAAACCCAGCTTTAAGCTGTCACTCTGCCAATACTGTACTTGCCAAACTGGTATCCATGCAACAGTATCTTTGCTTTCTAAACACCTTGTTCAGGCCCAAAGCACTTTTGTGTGTGGCCTTACTTTTATCATGTACTAAATACACGGAAACAGCAACTTATTCGTTAATGTATGCCAGAGCAATATGTCAACACTTTTTTTTTTTTTTTTTTTTTTACAAATCATTTTCCGAGGGTGTAGTTTGCCAACAGTTAAACAGTCTGTTTCACCCTTTGCCTACTAGCACAAGTCGGTACATTTTTGCGAGAACTGTCAGAAAGTTCCTTACTTCAGCTCGACCCCAACCAATGAAACTGGAAGTGACAGGAGAAAAAGAAACTCTCATGCCTTCAACTTCTAAACAGAGCCGTTTTACATTTCCCATATTGTTGCTTCACAGATTTAAAAAAAAAAAAAATGTCTCAGAAAGTTTTACAGAACACCGTTCCTCTATGTGCTTCGATATTCAGTCACACGATGACAAAACAGCATTTCATCAGAGTAAATATGGTATGCTTTCTCTGCATCATTCACATGTTCTTTTGCACTGTACAAAATATGACGACCAAAGACAGTTATTGTTTTATGAAAAAGCTGGTCAAAAACCTGAGATATTGTGGTGACCAGATGAGCAGATCTGGAATGGCTGTTAAAGTTTGATCTGTTTAAGCTTTGCTAATGTTGTGCCCCAAAGCTTTGAAACAACGACAAGATAGTCTGTTTAATTTGTGTTTATTATGTTTTCATTATCTTCTTCCTTTCCATGCCAATGAATAGACCTACTATGAACTCTGATCATGGAACATTTCAAGTCATGGTGTCATGTTAGCCCATGCAGGCTGGCCATACACAGTCAATGTTTTTATGACACAATAATTAAATAAAAATGTAAAAACTTCTATCTATATTTGTTAAACCTCTGTTATTTTTCCAAAATTGTGAATAACAGTCATGTGCTGTCTTGGACGCTTTAAAAACACCAAGTTTATAATATTAAGGAGGAAGTGTATGCTTTTCAAAAGGCTAATCAGGCATATAGGGATTAAAGTAGGGGTTTTATGTTGGCTTTGTAAAATGCTAAACAGCATCCTCACTCCATCCTTGATCCTGTTCCTCTGTGTGTCTATCAGAGCTCGGCCTGCTTATGAAGTCCTGTATCGATCAGGGTCAGCTGATACCCGATGATGTCATGTCTCGTCTCATCCTGAGCGACTTGAGAGCGACAGACCAGAGCAGCTGGCTGCTTGATGGTAAGAGTTTGAATCATTGCCTGCGTCTGAAATGAAAAACTGCTGGTTAAAACACATTGCCATCATTGTTTGTTATAGAAGTGAGAAACAATGTTTTCTTAGACCTTGCATATTCTTTACTCCAAACCTGGTAAAGTTACTCCTCACCTCCTCTTCTCTCTGTCCCTTTTGACTTGTATTCCTTTGCCTTCTGTCTCTCTGTTAGGTTTTCCTCGCACAGTGACACAGGCAGAGGCTCTAGATGACACCTGCAGTGTGGACACAGTCATCAACCTTAATGTACCTTTCCAGACCATCAAACAGCGGCTCACATCTCGGTGGACTCACCTTTCCAGCGGCAGAGTCTACAACATAGATTTCAACCCGCCTAAAGTCCCTGTAAATACATCCTCTCTTACATAATTTAAGATCACTGTTTAAGTTTCTGTTTCCAGCTTTATGTTGGCCCCTCTACGTCACTTAGGACATGAAGAAAAACCTGCCACTCGCAATTTAGTTTAGTTTAGTGAACTGTTTCGAGTTTCTCTAAACTACAACTTGGATAAAATGAGATGCAAAAATAATAGTTTTAACACGGGAAGGCACATTTAGTGAATGACCCAAAGGAGTAGGAACAAAAAGTGACAGGAGACACTACAGGATGATTAGAATAGGGACATTTAGCATGCCTTGTAAATTGATCAAATTGTGGACAGAGTGAATTAAAAAAATGGAAAGAGGACACAAAGAAAAAAATGTTTGCTCCGACTATTCATGTGGGGACATTTGCTCTCATCCACAGCAATAACACACCAATAAACAGAGGAGCTAGTGCAATGAGAAGCTTAAAAAAAAGGATTGTATAAATACAGAAATGAGTGAGAGGGATAATCATCCTCATTTCACACTATCAGTAACAACTCAACACTTTGCTTCTTATGATAACTTACAGTGTGTACCAATAAGAAATTAGATATGTATACCTAAACTGTTTTTGTACATACTCATGTTGAATTAAGCATGTTTAACTGTGCTGTAAAAATTGCTTTTTTAATATTGGGGCTCCCTGGGCTTTTGAATCAAGCCTCAAATGAACACTCAGCCCTCGTACTGCAGTTTTATTTCACTTCTGTATCAGCTTTATTTTTCAACACCAGAGTTTGCTGCTTGCTCTTTCCCCAAAAGTGCTGATTCCGTCATACTTGCAATTGCATGTTTTGTAACATCTCTCCTGTTCGAGTGGTAGATTGATACTATTTCGGGATGTAGATGATCAGTGTTAATGTTCTGGTATATTGAAAATGTAATAATGCGTTAAAATGTACGAGGCTACAAGCATCATCAGTGGTGAATGTTTCTATTTAGATTAGCTCTAGATGGTGTTGATCTAGGATAATGAGCATTATGAACATTATACATGTTTAGCGTTAGCTTGTTTCCATCTGTGCACATGTTAGCCTGGCATTAGCATTAAGCTTCAAGCGTCTTCTTTAGGTCAACTGTTTCCAATGCAAAAAAGCTCCTAGTGGGTTTTGTTAACAGTGTTCACATTCCAGTCTGTGAGCTGGGTCAGGGTTTGGATTGGACACATCCCAAGGGTGTTAACCAGCTAGGTGATTTAATACCGGTAGCATTTCTTAAGAGAATCTTTCGAAAATCAGTTTCCTCATGTTTCCCCCCCTGATAATGTTTTTTCTTATTATTATAAAAAAAAATGAAAAAAAGCGATTCGTTTGCAGCCTGTAGTATGTTTAAGCATGTTTACACGGTGCTAATATATCATGTTTTACTGTCTGTGTTTTCTTCAGGGTTTGGATGATGTAACGGGGGAGCCTCTCGTCCAGAGGGATGACGACACACCAGAGACAGTCACACACAGACTGAAGGCCTATGAAACCCAGACAGAGCCTGTCTTAGAGTACTACAGGTAGAATAAAGATAACTACAAAACATATCAGCACCTTTTATGTATTTATATTATTTATATTCCTCTTCGCTAATTAGAGTAATCAAGAAGCTAAAAGAGGAAAAATGCTGAAGCAGATGTTTGACTGTGTTACAGCCAAACTCACACTCTACACTCGAACTTTGACCCTGTCCTGTTTGCACAATCCTCATGGTTCCCTGCATGAAACTGCTTAAGAAACCACATTCCAAGGGTACAAGCTCACAAGTACAAACATTGATTTTTGTCCTTTTTACTGGAGTAAATGAAAAACAAACATGTTTTTTTAAGACACTCTTTCTTTTATCTTCAAGGTTTACCAGAATCCTTAAAGGTAGAGTAGCATTGTTCGTTGCAGCTTGTAAATTGAACCTGGGCCCCTTCATCTGGAATCATTGCCACAAGAAGCGCACGCCCATGTTAGCAATGTACGTTTACTGCTTGTACCTGCGCTTTAATCTACCTGAGAATATTACATTTGTTGTAATGGAAAAGCAGATCATTTAGCAAGCTGCCACAACCTAGCAAGCTGGAGTTTGGCATCTGACTGTCTTCAGAAATCAGGCCAACTCCTTGTCCGTGGGTGGAAGCCAACCCAAAGTCCACCCTTGTTGTGGAACGAGCTTTATCCGCGTGGCGTTTGGCCTCACTATGATTGTATTTTCTCTTCTTTGCCACTATGTCCACCTCCACAATATCCGCTGGTTTGAACGGCTTCCAATCATTGGATAGTTCACTACCAAACTCACCTGCGCACTGTGGGCTGCCGCTGGGGGAAACACATCCACTCCCCACCCAGAAACATCCAGAGGAAACCAAAGCAAATCAAAACATCAAATTACAGACAGAGGACAGGCTCTCTGCAGACTCAGTCTCCAACACACATGTACGGAGGACCATCAGTGATGGTTGAGCCTCATTACTTTTGTATAAGTATATAATTAAGTTTTTTATGAAAATGTTGCTGACTCTCTCCTTAAGGCAAACAATACAAAAGAAATACAAGAAATGCAAGACTGTGGGTATACTTACACGTAACTTGCTATTTCTGGACCAATTAGGCAGAACAAGACTTATTGTGTGTTACCTCAAACTAAACCAACGGGACATACTCAGCTAGTGTCCCACTTATTTTCCCACCATTTTCCTGAGAGGTAATTTATCATTTGAAACAGGTAAAGATAAAGATAAAGATAAACTTTATTGATCCCCCGTGGGGGAAATTTGTGCATTACAGCAGCTCCAGAAAACAGGGGACGGGAATATACTTATTACAAATAAAAATAGAAGTGAAAAACAGATCAAACATATTTACATCATTTAAAAAAAAAAATAAAAAAATACAATAATGTAAAATTACACAGTAACTTGTTCTTAAAAAAACACAGTGTGTAGCATGAGGTGGTGATGTTGTTAAAGAGTCTGATTAAACAGTCTGACGGCAGATGGGATGAACGACCTGCGGTAGCGCTCTGTCTTGCAGGGTGGGTGTCTGAGTCTGCTGCTGAAGGAGCTGCTCAGGGCCCCACAGTGTCATGCAGGGGGTGAGAGGGGTTGTCCATGATGGATGTCAGCTTCACTAACATCCTCCTCTCACCCACCTCCTCTACAGAGTCCAGAGGACAGTCCAAGACAGAACTGGCCCTCCTGACCAGTCTGTTCAGCCTCTTTCTGTCTCTCTCTGTGCTCCCTCCTCCCCAGCAGACACTGCACAGTGTCATAAAAAGTCCGTAGCAGAGTCCTGCACACTCCAAAGGACCTCAGTCGCCTCAGCAGGTGAAGTCGACATTGGCCCTTCTTGTACAGGACGTCGGTGTTGTGTGATCAGTCCAGTTTGTTGGTGAGGTGAACACCCAGGTATTTGTACGTCTCCACCCTCTCGATGTCCAAGCCCTGGATGTTCACCGGGTGCAGTCTGGGGTGACAGTCTGCGGAAGTCAATCACCATCTCCTTTGTCTTGCTGGCGTTGAGCTGAAGGTGGTTGAGCTCACTCCAGTCGACAAAGTCCATGATGACCTGCCTGTACTTCTGCAGGTGGCAGCTCCCAGAGTTGTAACAGAAGTCCGAGGTGTACAGGGTGAAGAGAAAAGAGGAGAGAACTGTCCCCTGTGGGACACCTGTGCTGCAGACCACCGTGTCAGACTCACAGTCCTGAAGCCTCACGTACTGTGGTCTGTTGGTGAGGTAGTCCGTTGTCCATGCAGCCAGGTGACAGTCCACTCCCGCCCTCTCTAGCTTCCCCCCTGAGCAGTGCAGGCTGGATGGTGTTGAAGGCACTGGAGAAGTCGAAGAACATGACCCTCACAGTGCTGTCATCCACCCCGATGTTCGGCTGGTAGGCAAACTGCAGAGGATCCAGATTTGAAGTCACCAGGGGGCGGAGGTTGTTGAGGACGATCTCTCCGTGGTCTTCTTCAGGTGAGAGGTGAGGGCCACAGGTCTGAAGTGGTTAGGCTCCCTGGGGAGATGTCTTTGGGACTGGCACCACGCAGGAAGTCTTCCACAGAGTCGGTACCCTCTCCAGTCTCAGGTTGAAGATGTGCAGAAGGACCTCACAGAGCTGGTCTGCACAGTCCTTCAGGAGTCTGGAGCTGATGCCGTCGGGACCTGTGGCCTTCCTCGCCTTGATCTTCCTTCTCACCTGATCAGCTGCTATGGAGAGGCCGTCGAGGAGGAGGAGGAGGAAGAAGAAGAGGAGGAGGGGGCTGTTGGGGGGGTCGTTTGAGGAGGAGGAGGAGAAGGAGAGGGCTGTTGAGGGGGGTGGCAGGGTACTCAGGGTACTCAGATGGAGTGTTGAGGGGGGTGGCAGGGTACTCAGGGTACTCAGATGGGGTGTCTGAGAAGCGGGCTGGTCTGCGCTCTGGTGGGTGGGGGTGGGGTTGGGAGCAGAATCAAATCTATTGAAGAACATTCAGTTAATTTACCCACTCCCTGTCTCCTGCTTCAGGGCCCCTCCCACACCTTCTGCTGTGACCTGAGATGTTATTCAGGCCCCTCCAGACTTCTCTTGCATTTTTATGTTGTAAATGCTCCTCCATCTTTTCCCGGTAGCTGGCTTTCCCCTCCTTGATTTTTTATCTTGAGCTCCTTCTGCACCCTCCTCAGCTCATCTCTATCTCCAGATCTAAAAACTCTTTTCATTGAGCAGGGTTTTCAGCTCAGGGGTCACCCAGGGTTTGTTGTTGGAGAAACACTGTATTTTTTTGGTGGGTACAGTGTTCTCAACACAGAAGTTTATGTAGTCTGTGATGCAGTGAGTTAAACCGTCGATGTCCTCCCCATGTGGGCTGCACAGCACCTCCCAGTCAGTGGTGTCAAAGCAGTCCTGCAGCGCCTCAGTGGCCTCCTTAGACCACTTCTTCACATACCTGGTTGTGGGGGGTTGTTTTTTCACCATAGGTATGTAAATGGGCTTCAGTCTCACCAGGTTGTGGTCTGAGCCCGGGGGGGGGGGGGGGGGGGGGGGGTTGATGATCAGTATGCATCCTTGGTGTTTGCATACAGTAAGTGCAAAGTTTTATTGTCCCTGGTATGGCAGTCAACATACTGAGTGAAAGTAGGGAGAGTGGCAGACAGGGAAGAGTGGTTCAAGTCTCCTGAGATGAGAATAAGAGACTTGGGGGTGTGATGTCTGTAGCTGAGACACTACACTGTGGATGAGTTCACAGGCTGCGGCAGCGTCCGCCGAGGAGGGGGGGGATGTAAACAGTCACAGGCGATCACGTGTGAAAACTCCCTCGGCAGGTAATATGGCCGAATGCTTACAGCCAGCAGCTCCACATCCTTAGTGCAGCGCTGTTCTTTACCGGTGATGTGCCCAGACTTAGACCACCTCTCATTCACATACATCACTATTCCCCCGATGTACACAGGTACACAGTGACAGGCCTACAGAACAGGGAATAAAAGAGGACAGTAGCAGTCACTTTAGCATACAAAAAAATATTTATCTTTTGTGCTGTTTCAGATTTTTCACATTGGATATTTAAAATAAAGTTCTGCAATTACACTCTTCTTTCTCTTTGTTATATTGGAATAACAGATTTCTGTTTGTTTTCCCTTACAGAAGTAAAGGTGTACTTCAGACCTTTTCTGGGACAGAGACCAACAAAATCTGGCCACTCGTTGAGGCGTTTCTCCACCGAAAACTCCAGCTCGTCAACCAGAAGGTTGCATAGAAAGCCTGAACACAACGGCACAAGAAGGGTTAAAGTTTACCAGCAGAAACCACGCTGTACTTAATGATCGACCAGGTGCCACTTCCTGTTAAACAAAGGAAGAGCAATATGTGTTGTTATATATATATATCCTGAATGTTCACAAGGAGAAGCAGGCTCTTAACATTACATGCCAGTAACAGCTACCACCACAACATATGTTGTTAGGGAAACTTCACTTACGAAGTACACGTTGCACTGATGCTGCATTCTCAGGATTTGTGCATAAAAGTCCTTAAAACAGAAGTCGTTATGATTGAAAGAAATTGTCATTCCATAATGTGCCTTTTTTTAAGCAAATAGGTATTTCTCACAATCTCTCCTTTCTAAGTTACTAACTGACTAACTTGTAATGCCACTATTGTAATCATGACATAGTCTCCTAGTTGAAGAACTTGAAATGTTTCTTATGCAGAGTACTTGCCCAAAAGGGAATTGTTCCACACATAACTGTAAATTCACTTTAACACATAAGTGCCTTTTGCAGCTTTAGAAATCTCTAACAGGTAGCTCAGCTAATGTAGTCTGTCAATATTAATAATGAGGACCACTCCTATTTTGAACATTTTGATCTCTTTCAAACCATCAGTGTGTGATACCCTCTGTTTAAAACTTTAAGTCTTAATAATGTTGCCCTTTTTCTGAAGTACAAGTTTTTATTTTAACCAGGCATTCCTTGTGGAAACCAAGTCTGTACATGAAGGCCTGTTCTTACATTTTCCATTTGATTTAACAGCTGATAATCATTTTTCACAAAATTCAAGGTTGATCTGTAGCTGAGCTTTGTCTTAAGAATATTTCACCATGTTAAAAGTTGGTGAAACGCTAACTTTGCCTTGTGATGTACTGTAGAATTATTGTTGCTACTGTGTGAATTTCTGAACACTTGAATATGTTTTAAAGCACACCTCCTTTTCATAGACAACATACAACTGCTTCGAAGTATTTATTGCAAATCACAATAAACCTCTGATACTAGGTTCAGTGTGGTGTATGTTACTTTGTAAGAGAATAGCATCATTGTAGCTTCACAGTCATTGTTTTCCTCTGTAGAATTTGACAACACCTGCTGCTAAGAAGGACTCCACCAATTAATGAAAAAGAAAGCGTCACAAATCAGAGAAGAAACAAGGAGAGCAGAATTTTTATTCAATGCATTGTTATGATCAAGACCTGGGGGTCTACATTATCCACAATGCAACACAACCAGCGACAGAGTCGTCACAGGTTCAGGTGTATACTGTTAGCACACTGGCAACACCAGCTTATGTCGCCTTGAGCCGCTAAAGCCTCAATTGAATACAAGGAGTAGGCAACACAGTTTTAATTTAGATTAGCACTGGTCTTATATTTGAGTTTCTTACAGCAGCAAGACTAACAAAATCTTACAGAGGCCTACTATGAGTCTGAATGAGATGTATCATTTTCCTAAGCTGATCACATCTCGGTTACAGAATTTCTTGTAGCAAAGTTTCTCAGTTGTACACTCACAGATTTATTTAATATCTATCTGAATAAGGAGACCCCATGGACACAGGCCACAGGCCAAGTACAACAGTTAAAGCCATACAATTATTTTTGCATAGTCAGTCACTGTGGACAGTGACACATCGATTAAGACCACTACGGCACATTGTTTGAGCTTTAATGCTAACAATAATGTTTTTTGTTCACGGTTTTTATACAGATACGTTTTGAAGATTCACTGTAAAGAAAAAAAAAATGGCACCGTTCAGGCCAAACTCAAATCTGTGAAATATGAAGAGTGAGACAAGAATGCATCCCCCAAAAGTGGAAAGTCAGAAACAAATACACTGTTCTTTAATGCATGGTGTCTACAGTTCCACGATCTGTTGTGGAAGTTGTACTCTTTGCGCCTCTCAGCAGATTTTTCACACTGATTTTGTCCACCCAGTTAAACAAAAATGTCCTTTTATTTATTTTCTTAACTGTAAGCCTAACAAATCTTTAAAAAAAAAAACTTAAAAACTTGGCAAACATAATTCAAAACAAACAAAAAATGTGACACAAAAACCACCACATGCTCAAGTAAAGCCTGCGGGTGAAATAAAAATTCCAGGGGACACAACAAAGAAAAAGTGACCAAATCGAAATATTGTACAGGGGAGAACTATACCTTCAAGTGCTTCATACACCTCGATCTCTTTGAATTAAACGCTTCTGTTCTGACAAGAGAAATATAAAGTGCAGGACACATTCAGATGCAGACATCCTTTCTGCATGCTCATAAACAGTAAAAGTCTTTGTGGTGAACTCAGCCCTTTTTTTCCCCCCTTCTCTCCTTAAAGGTACTCAAACCTTCTGACTCACTTGTAGCTCCAAAAGCGTGAACTTAAAATTGATATTCCCCTTAGTGAAGAGAGAAAGGAGCACTTGTGTCTTCTACTTGTGGATTGAAATACTGGGTTTATGAAAGGTACAGTTTTACTCTTGCAAACCTCTGAACCAGAGAAGCAAATCCAGAAAGCTAATGAACCTTGAATGTGCTAAAACATGCAGATTTGCACTCCGTCACCTGCAATTACCTACCTTTCTCTGCTAATTATCAGATAATCTTAATTCAAACGATGAAAAGCAACCTCTTTAACTGACAACCACAGAGGCCTCTATTCACCTTTAATGACTCATGCGTTCAGATTACACCGGTGTTTGTTGAGCGATGCAAAAGCGGCTCTTAAAAGCTGGTTTTACAAACTGGATGCTGATTGCTTTGTCGTTTCATAAACTCTGAATGATCCTATTGGCTGACATATCAACATCATCGGTCCTCTCATGATAATCAACCCGTGTGGGATTGTGTGCAGCTCCTCATGCTGATCAGTCAGAAAGGGTTGTACTCGCTGAGTGATTCTGAGCATAATGCTGAAGAAATAAACAGGAATCCGACAGGTCGGCACAGAGCTGTACGTGTGTTTGCAAACAGCCACATTTTTCACTCCGACTTCCCCCGGAGTTTCTCCTGCCAGACCCCTGGTACTTTTTCTGCAGCAAATCCGAGTGGGCTGATGTGAGGATGCAGCAGGATATTCTCCGGAGAATTTTCCTCTAGCCAAATGGGAGGAACGTGAAAACGGCCAGAAAAAGCACAGCTGCTTCCGGGCCTTTGTTGTGATATAAATGTCAATTTATTTATCAGAATAGTGTCAGCTATTTGCCTACTTTCTGTCAATTCTTGTGAAACATCTAACAAAAGTTTTCAGTAAGCCTGAAATTCTCACATTAAAGAAATCTCCCTTTCATACCAGACCGGACACGACAGCTTTCTCATGAACTCCACTGCTAACATTTCCTCATTAAATACATTTTCCCCTCATGATTGAAATCTGAGAATCATTCACAGCTACAACACTCCTACAGCGTCCCTCTGACACGAGTCCTCCTTGAGGCACAGGATTTGGTGCTTAACTTATTGTCTAGGTATTCTTTTGTGTTGTCTGGAAGTAATTTACAATTGAGTGGATCTGCTTCGCTTTCACTTCGGAACTCAGGATGTTTCTCTTTTTTAGAGCCAGCTTGACGCAGAGAGACACAGCAGGAGCCGACTTACCGGAGGGCCTTCCACAGCGACATAACGAGGACTACACTGAGAAATGTCCGTCACTGGAGAAACGTTATTTCCCGCAGGTTCTCCACTTATAATCTGCAACTCTTAAATCGAGTCACGTCTTCGCTTAATTCCTTCTTCTGCACTGGCGTTTTCCCCCAAACACATCTGCTGGGGAAGAGGGCGTAAAAACTCAGGTTCATCCTAAATGGGTGAGACGATGGAGATGGGAGGGAAAAAAGGAGGCGCTGTTTCTACAATCACTAGGATGTCTCCATCATGCGTATGTCATCTGTCTCTGTGGCGTCATCCTTTGTCCATCGCACGGTGTTTGTCCACAGTTCGGACTCTATACATCGCTTTGTAGGATACTCTGCCACCTAGAAGAAGGAGAGAAAGACAGGGGGGGGGGGGGGGCATTATGATCAGAAAATGAGGCTAGTCATTGACCCGTCAAATAAAAAAAAAAAAGGTTAAAGTTAAGATGGAATGAGATTATGGGGAGATTAACCTACTCTTGCAGAGTTAGAGGATTATACAGATGATGTAACTGCACTCTGCTGCTTTAACATTTCATGCACTGATCTGGTATTAAAATAATGTTATTTCAGGTTTTTGTCTGCGAGGGATCAACGAGGGACTGAAACCAGATTCATGGTCAAATCTACCCAAAAACTGTGTGGAAAACAAAACATCAGCACAAACACAGGAGCAGGTCCAGGAAAGACGAGCTGCTTCCTAAACCGGCAGGATTGCATTCCTGCGTGGCCGTCTCTCCCTTGTGGGAGAAGGGGAGGAGTCTTCTTTTCTTTTCGCAGAGGAGCTGTTTGGCAGACGGTCAAGCTGTGAGGCCACAGAGGGGACGAGGCCTCATTCACTCTCTCGCCTTTCAGAGTTTAGCTGTTTGGTAACATTTACTCTCTACATCATCTGACTGTTGATAAACTTTGCTGAATTAAAAAAAAAAAAGAAGCATTTGTGTCTAAATAAGCTTGTTACTGTCACATAAAAAAGCCTTTTATTTGTATGAGAGGGAAGGTGCTATTAGGTAGTCATTTGTTACACATTTTCTACATTATTCTCTTCTCCTCTGGTGAGGCAGCATGTATCTAAATCCCTATTCAGACTGCCTTTTCAACCCATGATATTTATGCCCCTGTGACGTTTTTGACATGGGGGGGGGGGGGGGGGGCGCGCAAGTGATCCCACCGCTGTAGCAACTCTGGAGGTGAGACAGTTTCAGCGGAGCCAGCAGGGGGAGCCAGCAGGGGGAGCGCAGCGCTGTGTGTTCAATGCATGAGACTCCAATATTACGCCATTGCAGAATCAATATGAATGTACAAAGATGTAATGACTGCTGAGATCAGTAAAGGTACTTTTGCAAAAAAAAAAAAAAAAAAAAAAAAAAAAAAAAAGCTGTCTGATACGGTCTTAGGAAACAGGATGATGCATTAAAAGGAACTCTGATGGTAGAAGAGTGGATCTGATCCACTGTTTGGACTTTGTTAAGTAGATGCAAAAATACACAACTATGGATTTATTATAAGTACTAGTATTGTAAGTACGTAGCATTAAATGTCTCTGCGTACATCTGTCGCTCATTTGGCCCTAATACCACTTATATGACCTACACCACAGCCTATGGTATCAGTCTCTACATTTACACAGTTATATGCTAGTTTTAGAAACCTCACAGATTACCGCTGTGGAGGGTTTCATCGAGCTGAAATGGAATTAGAGCCTCTCCATGACTGTGCGCTGACATGTTGATCCAAAGGTTCTGCAAAGACTGTTTTCTTACACAAATAATTAAAGAATATGTAGACTTGATTGTATGTTGTACTGTAAACTATGAAGCAGGCCCTGCCGTTCAAACTTTGAGATGAGACAACATCTTAATCATCCAGTGTGATGTTTTGCATTCAGACTTACATACTTTTGTACTACAGAAAACATACAGGTCAATAACAAGGTTAAAATAGTTTTGTTTTTCTGAGGGTTTTTTTGGACTCTTTATTAAGTTATTATGTTGTAAAAATCCTCAGTGTTTATTCTTTGTAGTTTTTTTTGTAAAAGTCCTAAGTGAGACTTGTCAGGGTCGAGACCCAAGAGGTCCAGAAAAAGGAAACATCGTACTGTTTAGTGCACACAAACTTTATGAAGCCCCCCCCCCTGCATAAACTCATCTATTACAGAAACAAACCGTACATCACGTGTCACTGAGCGTGCTCGTGTCAAAGACTAAAACTACAGAAAGGACATTTTCGCTATAATTATAGTTAATATTATTTAGTTTTATAAACACATAATACAGTTTTAGTATGTTGTCATTTTTATTTAAAGCCTTGTTTTAGTTTCAGTTAAAATAAAATATATATTTTTTTTCCATTAGTTTTTATTAACGACAATAATAACCTAGTTCCATCCAGAAACGTCTGTGACAGGTTCATATGAGCTGTTGAAAGATCAGAAAGAGTTAAGCAATTGTTGAATTTGTTTTTCTTTTATTATCATTTAATTCTTTCATCATTTAATACATAGGTCATAAAGTCATAACCTTTTTCTGCTTTCAACATTTCCTGTTAAACTTACACACACTCGTAGTGCCTACGCTCCTGTGAGGTCAAGATCAGTGTGCCATACATTGAAGCAAGACCACATAAAAGCTCGTAGGCGTATAGCGTTTCTGAGTATCAGCTCTTCTGTGTATCTGCTCGGTTCACGGTCTTAAAACCTCAAGTGTCTACACTCACAGGTTTAGACTTTGGTCTTTGAGTTTTCATTTTCTTTTCCATTTTTTATATTTTTCTTTTACTCTTTTGTATTTGCATTTGGAATATCATTTGAAATTTTTTAATACATTTTGTGAAGCTTTTTGAAATCATTTTCTGACTGAAATCATTCACACCACAAAGACTGGAAGTTCCCCTTAAGGACCCCGTGTACCTCGGAAGGTAAGTTTTGAGCAGTCACACCACGGCACACTTTTTTTTACTGATTTATATTACACACTTCATACACACCTAACATCCTAGCGAGGGGAGTTCACAGTTATTCCCTCTCTGGGGGGTAATCTAGAGTCCTATACCAGGGCTTATCCTTGAATCTAATTATTCTAGAAATGAATGTTAGGCAGCTAATCCTGGGGCTGTGATTATAATCATCTGTCCTCCAAAGGGTGTTAGAGGAGTAATGTTACATAGCTCCTTCCACTAGGAAAGAGTAGACTAGCAGGTTGGCAGGGAGTGAGCTCTCATTTAGTTCAATAATTAGTTAACTAATGTGTGGTGAGCTTCCGTTTGCTATAGTAAAGTTATTCACCCCTTTTTGCATGTCCAGGACATGCTACAGAGCTGAAAGAGATATACGTCAGGCTCTACAAATAAAACATGTAGAGATTATTATCTGTAGCAGTGTTTTAATATTACACTTTAGTGGAAATGGGATATCTGAGATATAAAATGATCTGTCTTTTGGGGGGGGGGGGGTGTATGTCACACACAGAAGATATAGTCTTCGTTGCAGCTGCAGATGGTACGAGTCCAAACTCAGCCATTTGCCGCGTGTCATCCTGCACATCTCAACATATCCTGTCTCTCTGCAGCTGCCCTAAAAAGCCCATCCCAATACTGTGACAGAAGTTAAGGTTTTCAGAATGACATTTCCAGTGAGTAATGTGGCAAAGAGGATGTCCTGATCAATCAGACACATTTTCCCTTTTCCGAGTAAATAATCTCACCATGACTGCGTTTGCCTCCAAATCCAGGATTCAAGTATTGATGAGCTTTAAGAGTTCTACATATTAGAGAACTGATATTCACTGGCTCAATGATGCCCCCTACAGCTATGTGGGTAAACTGCAATAACAGAAGAATCTCAATATCCTTGTGGAAAAAAAACAAAAGGAGAGAAAGAGCACTTACTGGAGGTAAAGAGTCCAGGGCTTCTTTGGGGTCCAGTCTGCAGTTTGTGCCAGTGTTGTGTTCTTCTATGTTGTTGTGTGTGTCATCTCTGCACTTGAGTGCATATTCTCTCACTCTGTGTTTGAAGGCCTCAAGCTCCGTCTGGAAGACTTCTAAGTAGACGTCTTGTCCGTCCTACACAATGACAAAGGCAACAGTGTAAGGAAACAGTTCGCCTTATGCTATCCCAAAAAAAAGAAAAGAAAAAAAAGCAACAAAAAACATATCTAAAGACACTTTGGCACATTTGTTATAGCATGCACTGTAAGAGTGGTCCATAGGTAAGTGAAATATGTTAAAAATAAAAACAATGTCATTTAGGGGTTGTGTGTGTGTCTCACTTTGGCTTTGTGGAAGAACTGTCTGAAGCAGCCTCGAGGATCCTGCTGAGAGTTTGAAGCCATCTCTAGGATGAATTGCATGACTACAGCTTGGTGTGCAACCTGCTCCATCAGCGCTTCTTTCTGAAAAACAAAAATCTTCATGTTCAGTGTCTGTTTGTGCGAGAAGCCTGATTAACTTTGAAGTTGTCCAAATAGATGTTAAAAATCTTTTTTTTTCCAATGCTAAACTTTTTAACATTGTTCAAATGACACGTGCTGATTAACCTCTAACTAAATATTTGCTTTGTGTGTTTGCAGCTACTTAGTATTTGATGCTGCTATGGATGTTAATTGTGTCCAAATGGAATCTCAGCAACATCTGATAAGCATCTTCTATAAAATGTCAGATGTCTACAAAGAGGTTAGCTCTGACAGCACAACGGTCAAATCTCAAACTGGTTCATCCGGATTCATCGTTATGTGCCACCAACTTCAACTCAAAGTGCTCCTGGAGTTCAGACAGTACATGAGGCATAAAACCAGCTGAGACTACACAGGCCGCATTAGTTAGAGGAGTTATTCCCTTCCTGGTTTTGTTGTTGATGATGTTGTTATTGTGGAGGTACCACTATAAACCAGTTTGCAGTAGACCGCTCAACGTTGATGAGTTGTTGGCGGTTCAAAGATGAAAGAACAGCAGTCTCATCATTTCAGTACATTACCCCTTCTTGCTGAAGTCTCATGCACCACAGGACTAGGTAGTTTGCCGTTTCCTCGCAGATGAGCTGCGGCATTTCAGCGAGGAACCGCTGACTGTCGTCCCATCGCCGCAACATTCCTGACAGAACAGAACATTAAAAGCATCATCGGTATATATTTTCTGCAGACATCAACAGGAGACCTCATGGGTATGTTTTGCATCTTAAATCTTTTCCTGCTGCAGTGTGGGGAAAGTTTTACCATGTCCACTGAACGCAGAAGATATTCGTTTCGACACAAAATAGGGCGAGGAGGGCTCGTGTCGGGCACCTGAGCAGCGGTTACCTCTTGTACATGACGTAACACAACACATGCACGGCCTTACATAATTACGAAGCATGCTGAGTTTACAAGAAAGGCGGGCTCAAAAATAAGAATAAAACATATGTAACGGGACACACAGTCGAGTACGCGTCCACACATCGGAGAACAACACAGAGAACATGACAGTTAGACAGAAATGTGTAGGGTGTGTATTTTGCCTTGCACTGAACACTAAGGGGGGGAAATTGCAAAAAAGCTCCAAGCAACAAACTTAAGAGCTACATAATACAATACGTTTCTTAAATCTCAATAGACATTTAAAACATGACTCTGAGTGAGAATCCATTTTTATTACAAACTTCAGATTCGGCATCTCACTCACCGAAGTGCCTGAGCTCTTGCTCATACTTCTGGAGAAACGTCTTGCACTTGTCTTGATCCATTTCTACTGGCTGGTTTGGGACATTGATGATACTCTGAAAGATGGAGAATAATAAAACAACAAGTCAAACAAAAGGAACAGACTGCAACTGTTCTTCTGCCTTGGTTGTCCCTCCTTTCAACAGAACACATCTTCACTGTTCGACTAACCTTATTAAAAACATCCCAACTGCTCACAGCTCCAAGCACGGGACTCCGGCTGGGTTCTGGACCTCCCAGCATGCTCTCCTTGCGGCGCCACTCCTCCACAGTGTGCGTGAGTTCTGTGGCGCACACCCGAGTGCGAGCACGTTCCTGCTCCAGGGACTCGGAGCTGTGGACGCCGAGAGAACACAGCTGATCCTGAGCTTCAGCCAGTCTCCAGCTGGAGACGATGGAGGCCTTCACGCAGCGCTGCTGGCTCTGGCACAGAGACGCCATGGCACAATCACAGCGGAGCAACGACGGCGACTGCTGTGGGGTTATTGCAAGAAAAGAGATCACAGAGAAATAGAGGGTTACTGTCAACGAGTTAAATATGATTCATAACGAGGTGTGGGAAAATAACCACACACAAACCGCGCTGTGCATTAAGGACAGCTTACGTGTCCCTTTCCTCTTTGAAGCGGAGTCAGATCTTAAACATCACCCTGAGCTATAGTTTGGCCATTCCTTAGGCATCAGACCTGCCTCCATTGATTCCTGACAGGCAGTCTGATGGCTGATCTTCAGAATTTCTCACCAACATTCTAACAATTTGAGATGGTAAAAACAGTCTGTGTTTGCCAACAAAAAGACAGCAGCACCCCCCCCCCCCACACACACACACACACACACACACACACACAGACAAAGTCTCAATTCCTCTGGTTCCCTCATGTACTTCTAACCCCAACCAACACCATCTCCGTCGCCCCACCCATCAACCTCCTCCTCCATCTGTCCTCTACCTCACTCCCCCCCCCCCCATGCTTGCCTTAACGCCCTCCCTCATCCCAGACCGATAATCAAATTAACTGTAGACACTCGTAACATGCACACTCATTCCATAGACACTCAACAAGATCTATATTATTCTTCACAAATTATGCAACTACTAAAACAGCTTCTGTCTGCCAACTACACTGAATGTAGCTGCTTATATCAGGACTGATGAACGTACTTATGACTTGCCTGATAAACAGTGAATGCAAAAAGAGCAAAGGCTTCAAGCATTGGAAAGACAACAGAGGAAAGTGCCTTTGAATGTGTTTTAAAAATAAAATAAAAACAGTTTGCCAACATCAAGCTCAGACTGGACAACATGTCAGATGCTCTCGTTTAAACAGGGCTTTGGCTTGTCATACATTTACCCTCCCTAAGCATTGAATATATTCTTCTTTGCACAAACTCATATGCTCCCCCTTAGCTGCTCAGCTAAACCCCTCCAAACAGCCTGCTCAGGCTGAATCACAACCTTAATGTAAGGCCTTTCACATTGTTCAGCTGTCATGACCACCACCATGCTGTATTTGGCCTGGGTGGGGCAAAAGGGGGGGCTAAAAATAAATCAATGCTTCATTCGGCTTGCCTAAAACAATCCTGTTCAGACACCACACACACAGCTGTCAGATCTGAAAAGAGAAAGAGAGAGGGGGGGGGGGAGAGAGAGAGAGAGAGAGAGAGAGAGAGAGAGAGAGAGTTGTTGTGGCCTCTGATCTCACCATCCCATGTACGGCTGATCTCCCTCTATTAGCACAAATCCTGATTGGAAACTGCGTGACACCGTTTACCATCTAACACCACATTCAAGTTGGCGTGACTGTGCAACTTTAGGTTCTCCATCAGATTAACTTTCGGTCTTAATCGCAGGTTGGACACTAGTATTATTCACCAGGACAGTTATTGGCTCAATGTTATTGATAGCCCCTAAAAGCTAATTGATATAGTTGAACAAGAAGACAAGAATATGGAGGGGAAAAAAACAATATAACTGGAAAAGAAATAAGCAAAGTCTACAGTTTTCTCTAACTTTCAAGCTATCTAATAACTTAAATGACCCCCCGAACAGGCTTAGCTGGATAGCAATGTTTTGTTTTTTTTAATACCTTTCAGTTTCCTCTCTGGTGCCAAGAAGGGCCCAAAAGGATCACATGAGATAATTACCTGCTGCTGAGGATAAACACCACTGAGGTCCCTTGAAGCCTCGTCACAGCTTGACTCTTCGTGAGGTTGATTTGAAGCTACGTTGCCCAGCCACTCCATCACTGCTTAGCAACTAACTCACCTAGCTACGAAGTGGGATCCGCCAGCTAATGCTAGCTGTGTTGGAGGAATCAGAACCAGTGTTGCTCCCTTTGACAAAACTCACTGCCAGAGTTGAATGTGAACCATCTGCAGGTGTGATTTGTCAGCGGAGCCGACTTGAGAATATGATTCTACCAAAGCGACTCCAGCTCCCGTGAATAACACCGTTAGCTAACAGTTTTCAGAACTACAACTGGCCATCCCCAAACAGACAGGGGGGGATTCTTCTTCTTCTCTGGTTTAATCATGGCGGAAACATGGTGCATACCGCCACCTACTGTACCGGAGTGTGTAACTTCAGGGCTTCATGTAGGATAGGATAGGATAGTACTTTATTGAAATTCGGGCGTTACAGCTGCACAGACAAGAAAGCTCAAATACACATTAAACAGAATAGATAATAAAATAAAATAAAATAAAATAAAATAAAATAAAATAAAATAAAATAAAATAAAATAAAATAAAATAAAATAAAATAAAATAAAATAAAAATTAAAATAAAAATAAAAACAGGGGGTATATACAGTACAAAATGAATGATGAAGTTAACTGGGGAAATTGAGAATTGAGACAGTATTTGCAGAGAATGTCAAGATAAAGTGACAAGTGATTAAAGTGACTTGGTATGATAAATAGCATCAAGTAATGTAAACAGCAGAGAAGAGAGGCAGTGTTTTTACCACAGTACTGCAGGGTGCAGTTATATAATATAATGTAGTATAATATAATTTAATATAGTGCAATATGAACAATATAGTGTAATATGATTAAATGTTATATAATATAGACTAGTATAATAATATAATAAAATATCTAGAATGTACAGTATATATGTGTATATATGTAGTAGGCCTACTTCAGGTTACATTCTGCAAGTTGATGATAGATTTAATTTTTTTAAATTCCAAAAAAAAACACAAATAAACAACAACAACTGAAAAATAAAACATTTAAACCTTTATCTTTCAGAAAATAAAAAAACCTTGCAGCATTCCATCATTTTGTCCATCCTCCCTAAAATCACTTCCAAACTCCATCTCTGTTCATATATCCTACCACATAATGTAGTCCTCTCTACAGCATGTATGCTACACTTCATAACAACACGTTCAACATTTTCAGTAACATTACAAACAACACTTAGATGAATATATATATAATTAAATATCGTGTTTATGTTAATCCTGTTTTCATTTTGTAAATGCACAAATGTAAAACTTTGCTTGGAATATAACGAGATTTTTAATAAAGTGTTTGTGGCACAGTGAAATTCAGGGGGTCATAGAGAACATTTTCCAGAAGAACCTCAAAATTAGAAATAATATGATCTAAAATAGATCTACACATATCTTTTCACAATTTATGAGTATGCACACATTTCAATTAATGACAGTCTCAGAATGGGATTCACAAAAGGTACAATTTACATGGATACCTTAATTGAATTTAACAAATAAGCATTTGACTGGATAACACTGATAAATCATTTTAAAAGAAATCTCCTTAACCTTACTGAACAACAATTTCTTTGTGGGAAAGTCCAAATTTTTCACCAGCTTAAACAACTTTTCCGGTAGGTGTCTTACTGGCTAAACAGAAACACAGATTTACAGTTGTTTTTACGGACAGAGCCTCATTGCCTTCCTTATTAGAGATTCGGCCTGATCCGTTCCAAAGTGAACTTTCAATACATCATCATTTAGAGCAACCTGACTGTGTCACACAGAGCAAATGGTAATGAGGATGTGATTTGGGGAGGAACAACATGAAACAAATGATGGCACTATTTTAAAAAGATCACTCTTAATGTAGTGTTTTTCAGTCCAGCCTCAATGATGTAGATGTAATCTCTGTAAACTTTCTCATTTTTAAAGGGAAATTAATTAAACTGGTGCAGGTATTGTTTGCCTATTGTAAGCCTCTCTTGAACTAAATGCATAATTTTACTCTAATTATTATAAACAATTAAAATGCATTGAATTTAATAAAGAATATTTTGTATAGACTATTAATCCTTAGGTTTTGGAGTTAATCTCGGATTAGATTTATCAAGATGCCTATTGTAAAGAAAAAGATTATTTTGATCCAGTCTTTTACAAAGATAACATATTTTCGGCCTTATATGGGTTCTAATAACATGTATCACAGAAAATGTGATAAATTTAACGAACCCAAATGGCTACGTCTAGATTAAAACAATGTATGCTGTGTGAAAGATATCTAAAAAATAGAAAAAAACAAACTAGTTGTGTGTACTAGAAATGTCACTGCGCCGTGGTCTTTGAGCAGAGGGTGGCAGTAGTTCACTTTGCTCCGGCATGGCATACTCACTCTAAAATTAAGTAGAAGAAAAGGAACAGAGGGTTCACTTTTCTCTATTTAAAGTCTCACAGGCAACACTTCCGATCGTATTTGTTTTTCATGTGATCTACTCAATCTGTCCACCAATCAGATTTCCGACATAGTATTGTGTTAATGTCTTCGGTATATAACTGTGACATGACTATAATGGTCACTGCCTGTAAATGTCTTCCAATAAAGTCGGAACTGCGTACAGTGTAAGGGCACAGGCCGCCTGGGAGGTTTTACGCAGGGACTTTATCAGAACAGTACAACCCGGTAGTCAACCAGAAGTAACGTTTTACTAGACTTTAATCTGCCTAAAGATAGCTAACTGGAAGAAAGTAGCACACGGTGAGTCCATTCACATCGACACCGTGACATTACCTCAGTAGAGTATGTTTTTTTTAGATTGTAGACACACTGTTAAAATCATGTCTACTGTGTTTCGGAGCGCATTTTGTCAAGCTGAGGTTTGAGACAGACTAAAGTGAGTCATATGAGCTAACAAGAACAACGTCACCTGGACACCTACAAACTGTGGTCTGGCTTTATGTTGATCAGGAAGTGTCGAGCAAGTCTAAACAGAAACGACTTAAACATGTACAGCCGCCGAAACACCACGTGGTTTATCGATATTGACCGTACCAGCTGATGTTTGCTAACAGAAAAGATAACACGCACTGAGGACGTGTCATTTATTTTACCGCCACCAGGGGGAGTTAGAACATAACACAAGAAAGACCTCAATTTAGGGGCCACATTTTCCTTTGTCTTAATTGTCTAACCCCCCCCCCCCGCCTGAAAGAGTGCTGTTGTCCTGGCAGTGCTGAATGCTTTAAGCCCGCCTCCATTAAGAGAGAAACAACCAGAAATCAGGCCTAATAAAAACATCCTCAGCCTGAAATCTGGTGTCATAGCCAGCTGGCATCTTGCCCTTTCTCAGGCTGCTGTTCCCACAAGTCTGAGTGTATGTCTGTGGAGGAATGATAATATCAGCAAAACTGGTTCATAATCATCAGGTTCAGTTATGGTTGCACTGCTTTATCCGTTACTCTCGCTTCATTTTGCTTTGTTATTCTTTTTGCATATTAGAGCGCAAATGCGCATACCAATCATTTGACATATTTGGTCAAAGCACGCTCACCTTTTAACTTTTTTGGTACATGATACATACATTGTTAATGAAGTATTTTGTTTTGTTTTTTTTTTGGGGTGAAAAATGTGACCAATTGAAATGTTCTACTCATAGCACTTTGTTGTTTTTACAGCACATCATCATGTGGACAGATATGAACCATACTACTCCAGGGTCAGCAGGTTAGTCTTAAAAGTTATTGTTCAACTTTAAACCCCAAAACACTGAGCAATCTCAAGCCGTTTTCACATGTGCACTCCGGATAATATCTAGATAATCACAGGAGGAACGCTCCGGAAATTCTCCCGACCTAGCCGTTCACGTATGCTCCTAAGAGCGGGGGACTTTCCCTGTCAGAGGGGACGGGGATCTTGGGATTTCCTGAGGTAAGACGTGACGTAAATAAACAACGCGGAAGACGTTATAATGAGAATATTTGCCTTTATATTAATGCTATGTGTAATCCAATGGAATGACAACATCCACAAAAGAGAGGAGAACAACACACTGACGAACAGAAAACATCATGCAGACGTTTAACTACGTGCACGGAGGTCGTAGTGATCGCGTGCAGACACTTTAGCCGGTCACTATATAAACGTCAATCTCTTCCTATTGGCTCAAATTGAAATCTCCGGAGTATATTCGGCCGCGTTCAGACATCAGCTAACTCGGATTTTCTGCGGAAAAAATACTAGGGGTCTGGCCGGAGAAACTCCGGGTAAAGACTGCGCGAAAAATGCGGCTGTTTGCATTCACGCGGCCTAAAACCGCCTACCTCCGGGTAGCTAAAACCGGAGTTTTTCATGAGATTTCTGTATGTGTGAAAAGGGTTTCTGCTGTCAAAATTGGGCATTTTAACATGGGTGTGTATGGGACTACCAGGGCTTTTGCATCTAGCCTCAAGTGGACACTCAAGGAGCTGCAGTTTATTGCACTTCAGCCTTGGCTTCATTTTTCAACAACAGAGATTTCCGCTTTGTGATGACATGTAATCGGACTCCAAAGACTGATTTGTGTCTGCGGTTTTACGTATTTGAGGCAACTTTAGCTTGCATAAGAAGTATTCTGACATACCGACACTGAAAATGTCCTGAAATATTTGGGGCGTGTGTTACATATGTGAACACAATCTGCAGAGTTTTTCACCCAGTTCTTGATAGTCGTAGTCTCCTTCTGTAAGGTGCATATGTGAACAGGCAACTCTGGAAGACTGGATATGAAACAGTCTGAAAGTAATGTTGATTACTTCATGTGAACTAAAAAATCTAAACAGAGCACAAGGAGTGAAGACGTTTTCACACTGAGTCTGTTTATCGCCCGAAACTGACGCATATTTTAAAAGAAATATGATCTAATGTTGTGTCAATCATATTTATATTCTGACTCCAAAGCTTTCATCTGTCATTATTTTTTGAACAACATCCATCAGTGTGTGTGTGTGTGTGTGTGTGTGTGTGTGTGTGTGTGTGTGTGTGTGTGTGTGTGTGTGTGTGTGTGTGTGTGTGTGTGTGTGTGTGTGTGTGTGTGTGTGTGTGTGTGTGTGTGTGTACTGTGTGATGAGTACAAGACATTTGTCTAATGCTGCAAATTTACGGAATTAATCTAAAAAAATATACACATCGGACTCAGTGTGCAAGGTTTCTATGTGTCACGTTTTTCATTGGATAACGGATCTGAAAAACACATCTGACTCATTGTGCAAAGGCCTTAGGACTGATTATTTCTACATGGTTACC